GGGCGTCCGCGGCGCCGCCCCTTGCTGCCGTTCCCTGCTCCCCCGAGCCCGAGCCTCCCGGGGGGACGCCGCCGCGACACGGGGCCGTCTTGCCTCGGGCCTGAGCTGCGGTGGGCTCCGGGGGGAGCGGCGGGCGCGGGTCTGGGTCTGCACCGGCGGGCGGCGCGGGTGTGTGGGGAACTCCCGCGGGCGTGCGCCCCGGAGTGGGGCGGCGATGTGGCCCCCGGCCCCGGGGTTCACCGTCCTAGCCGAGCTTCGTGGGGAGTGGAGATGGGCGAATCCCCCACCCTCAGCGTAGCCATCCCTTCCCGGAGAATTTTCTGCCGGAGAGACAGCCAATAAACTCTGCTCAACTCCCTCCTTCCCTCCCTTCTTCCTAGCTGCAGTTTCAAAAAGCTTCAAAGCCAGGAATGTGGGATTCATCTTCCGAGTCCCCAGAAGGCAAATGTGGTTACAGATGTTGCACGGTACTTTGCCAAGTTTAAAACCCTGCCTTTAACACTAACCAAAACCGTGGGGCTAGAACCTTGGGCGCGCTGGGGAGACGTGTGGGCCTCCGGGACTGCTGGATTCGGTGACTTCCATCAGGTTCTAGACTGGCTCGGCTTTGTCCAGTTCGTGCGAGGACCCCCTCCTCCCCCCCGCGCGCCCCTTCCCCTGGAGTTTTCAACGCTCCCTGCGTGGTTTGAGGAACTGCGGAGGAAGCTACCCGGGGAAGAAAAGATTCCACTTAGCAGAAAAGTCTTGCTTAAAAAGTTGTCATTAATTTGGCTGGTGGAGCGAGGTAGAAGGTAATACAATGGATTTGTTCGTTTAATATTGAGCTTCTCTCTATTTTTTGAGGTGTGTGGGAGGGGTGTTCGGTGGTGGGAAAAGAAACTGGTCCCATCCGTGTTTTACATGTTTTTGAAACTGGGCCCTGGAATTTTGACATAACCCAGTGATTTAAAAAAAAATTCTGTCCCAGAGATACAGACTACTCTGACAGCCCAGGGGAAGGCGGTGGCAAAAAATAGACACCACCTCCTTTTTCCCCCAAAAAAATTCTTCCTGGAAAGGTGGTGTTAAGAAATTTCAGAAATGGGCTGATCCAAGTGGCGAGCCTTAAATGGAAACACTATAGTATGTCCTGGCACTTGTCTGTGGAGGTGGGTTGCTGGCCAGGGGCCCGGACTTGGGCAGCCAGCAGACACTAGACTTGTGCTGACCTCAGACACAGGCCTCGCCATGCAGCCTTACAGTGTGCAGAGTGCTTAAGCATGAAATATGGCATCTATCCTTGTCACCGATGGGGACATCTGGGTCCGGAGGTTATTTTAGATCTGGATAGGATCTGAATCTTCATCTAAGACAAAGTCACTTACTTTGTTATTCAGTAACTTTTTTTTTGTCCTGAAATTAAAAAGTGAAAGTCTTTTGAAAATGTATACCTTATATTGATGTAATTTGTGTTGGATAATAGCATTTTTAGTATGATACTCTGGAAGGTGCTGAATGACAAGATAAATTATGGGTAGATGGCAAGGATCAAGTGCTGGGATGGGAAGAGTTGGGGTTCATCGTCTCCCTTTACAACTGTTTGGTTTTTTTCTTTTTTCTTTTTCCTTGAAATGGAGAGTGCTTTAAAATAACACTTGAATTAGGTAATAGTCTTGCCAACTTTTGGACCTTGAAACAGTGATTATTTGAATCTGAATGTTTGCTTGTTATCTCTGAGTAATTTAAAAGAATATTCAGGATGCAGAGGAAAGATGTCATATTTAGGAATACAGTCCATGTCAGAAGCAAGAAACTTAATTCTAATCCAATAAACATGGCAGTGATTTTCTTTCCAAAGTAGATTTTCTTTTGTAATCATGAATGGTGTAACAGTGAGTAGAGAATGTGCCTCTACCTTCCCCAGCATTGGCCTGAGCCAGTGCTCTGATGGTCATGATTGTGCTTCTAGGGAATTCTTTGGGTGGTATTTAGTAGTCTTGCTTTTCTGAAGAGGGAGGGACAGGACAGAAATGGATTTGAAAAATGATCCTGCTCTTCAAGGTCGCAAGGTGAAGGTAGAATCAATGCTGGGATTGGAAGCTGCCCTCTGAGCCTTGTGTGGCTGGCTGCTGGATCCTTGTATCTGGATTTATTTTTATGTGATGAGATAGCTAATCTAACTCATTTGGGTTTAGGAAGAAGTAAGTCACTGATGGTAGTGAAGCCCTTTTGGTTGTGTGATTGCATGAGTCAAGCGTGCTGGACATGTGCTGGACACTGCTCTTCATGTGCATTTTCTTCTTGACAGTCTCACTACCACCATATACTGTATTATTATTTTACCCTTTGAGGCTTGGAAAATGTAGGTGGTGGTGTGGAGAGTTGAACCAGGGCTGTGTTTCTGGAATCCATATTCCCAGCCACTGTTCTTGATCACTGCCAGACTTCATTTATTCATATATTATCTTCATGAGTTTACTGTAACTCTTACTTAGTCTTCATTACTTAATGATTTTTCTTAAAGCATCAACTCAGCTTTTTAAAAACAAAGATGCCATATCTTAAGAGGAAATACTGCTGCCATATTTGGAAACCAACTCATTTCTTAGGAGTAGGAGGCAATCATAAAGGTGCCCTGAGACTTGTGTGGAAACCTCGAATTCTGGGTAATGATTACCTGTTGTGTGTGTTACCAGGATGTGTGATAAGGGCAGAGGAAGTAGGTGAGTGATAGGGTATTTGTGGTACTCTGGTTTTCGGGTTGGGTGATGGGTTCATGGGTACTGATTATATTTTTAGGTTTTCTAACCTACATACTTTCTTTACAAAATGATAAAGAAAATTAAACACATGATCCTTAACGTAGTGATTCCTTGGGGATTATTTCACTGCACCATGCTGAAGATAGGTCTAGCGTGGTATCATGTGTGAATTAAGTGCCCAGAGACTGCTGGTTGACAAGACCCCCAAGTAATGACTTTGAGAGCAAGCTGATGGTTATACATGAGTGAGGCTGAGGTATGTCTCCTCTGGTTTTCTCCTCCTACTTGTGTTTCCAATATTGTGGCCAAAATACAGTTTAGTGCCAGTGTGGGTTTCCCTTGAGTAGGGCTCTGTGGTTGTGGAAGGCGAGGTTTAGGCGGCAGCTGGTGCTCTGTTCAGGTCACTGTGTCTTCCAGCTCTAGTACTTGGGATGGGTTGCCAGTGCAGTCGTGAAGTGCTAGAGTGATCATTCAGAGTTGGAAGGGTATTTAAGTTAAGCCCTGTCTGGGTAAAACGTTAACAGCATTGAAACAGGAGGCTGGGAAATAAAACCATCTGAAATTTTAATTGAAATCCACAGTCTACTGTTTTATTTTCCCAGGCCGGTGCTGGGCATTGTGGCTTTATTCCTGGAAATGAAGATTTGGAATTGGGTTTCCTGGTACAAATGCCTTCTTTGATCTTCTGGAGTGAAAACTTTTTGTTTTTGTCTAAGGCCAATTCCAGCCTTAGAAGAACTAAATGGAAGATTTACTCTTTTCTTCTAGCTGTTGGCTGTAGACTAGACTGCTTTTGGTTGCTATCTAGTTTAGGAATCCAGGGATCCAGAGTAGGACTTAGCTATAGGAAAGGACGCTTGAATGAAAGATCCTTTGGTAAGAGCTTCAAGTTGGTACAGTGGGCACATCATGGACTTTGGCTCAGGTGGGAGCTCATTTTGTTTTTAAAGTTAACTGAGATACCCTTTTAGGCAACAAAGGGGGCTTGGGGGGCTTGCACAAGGCTGTGGGTTTGATCCCCAGCACTAGGAATAAGGAAGAGAGAGAGAGAGAGAGAGAGAGAGAGAGAGAGAGAGAGGAGAGAGATCAGATTCCTTCTAAAAATTAAAACAAATACACTTCTACGCCAGAATTCAGTCTGACTGTACAGCTGAATAACATGCCTGTGCTCCTCTAGGCAGTTCTGGGAATTTGGGTTTGTTTATGAGTCTGAAGGCTCTTATGTGATCCTTGAGAGCTTTGTTTTCCAGAGTCGGTGCTACTCAGTTGTTTGATTTTGGGGTTTTTGGTCACTGACCAGAATTCCACTTTGCCCACTAGATTGCCTCATTGTTTACCTTGGGTGTTTGGCCTTTATTTCTGTGATTGGGAAAGTGACTTTACATTTCACTCTTTGCACATTTTGTGCAGGTCTGTGCAGTAGTCGAAGGTTGTTGGGAATGGAGAGAGGGGAAGGGGCCGCGCTCAGCACAGGTATCCTGAGGGGCCTCCAAGAGGTCAGCTCTCTGCTCATTTGGCCTGGGCTATCTGGTGCCCTGGTGCTGCTCTTCCCTTCCTTTGGGGAGAACCAGATCCTTCAAGGACCAGGGCAGTCTCATTGCAAGCAGAAGTGCCTCCCACATTCTGCCTTTGTGATCTCCTCAGACTTCATCTGGGCCTAGCTCTCTGAGTAAAGGCTCCAAGTGACCCTTTGGAAACTTACTTTTTTTTTTTTTTTTTTTCTGTCTTGTCACAATTCTTTTTCCTTCACCAGTTGAAAACCTTTCCAGTTGTCTCACGTCTCACGGGACTCCTTTAGGGCAGGGATGGTTCCTTACTCATCTTTTGTGAATCTTTTGCACCTAATACAATGCCTAGCTCAGAATACACAGCCAACATATTGTTTTAGGATTGTCAAAAGAATGAATGGATGATTGTACTCTTGGGGGGAACACAGGGACCCTGTCCTCTAGGGAACTTGGGAAAACTCACCTTGATCCCGAAGCTTAACTGAGGGCAGGGACAAAAGCCACTCTAGTAGGAGTTTTATGATAACGCTTCCTTAGCTGCCTTCCCTTCCCTCCCCTCCCTGCCTCCTCCCTCCCTTCTTTCCTCTCTCCTTCTTCCCTCAGTCTGTCTTTCTGTGCTGTGGTTTGAACCTGGAGCCCTTGTGCATGCCAAGGGTATGCTCTGCCACTGAGCTAAGTCCCCAGACTGAAACATCAGTTTCTGTGTTTCATTTTAACTTGTAAGTAGTAAATTTAACAAACAGATACTGTTTTTCTTTCAGTATGTGTTTCTTCTTTTGGTTTGCTTTTGTATTTAAGGGAGGAATTTTCATTTTGGGAAAGACTATCTCAACCATTTTTTTCTCCTGGTACTAGTGAAGATTGAAACCAAGGACTTGATACCACTGTGCTCCTCCTGTAGCTCCCCACCTCCCTTTTTAACATTTGTTTTGAGACAGGGTCTTACTGAGTTGCCCAGACTGACTTCAAACTTGTGATCCTCCTGCCTCAGTCTCCCGATTACTTGGGGTGGTAGGCATGTACCTCTGCACCTGGCTCCACTCATTTTCTGTGGCCCATAGAGCAAGCACTCGAGGACATGGCTGGGACTCAGGCGCTTGGTGGATTGACTCCTCTCCTCCAGTGTTCTCTGGCATACATTCCCAGACACTTGAGAGTAAGAACACAGAGTGGTAGGCAGTGCTTATGTCAGAGGTTGGAGAATGTGGATGACTTCCA